CAATATACAAGATTAGCAAAAGGAGGGAATCCTGCTAAAAATAGGGTACACGGAAAAAAATAGGTGAATTAAAAAATCAAAAATAAAAGATACAAAATACTGTTTACACGAAAGCGATATACATGATAATAATGATAGTGAAATAAGATAGAGGTTTAGACACAAAATTATTAAAAATCGCAAAGGCAACAATTACAACATTCATAATTACACCTATTCTTTGACTAGCCATCTTAAATAAAGCAGGAATATGATTACTAAAACTTAGTTTATCTATTGTTAAATTCCTAAAATTTTGAACTGCTTGATGGGCTGATGTCCATGTCCTTTATATTGATCACACCGACAAGGTACTCGTTGACGCACTTGCTATAGATGCCTTCTTTGTCGGGTACTTTTTCAGATTTCCTTCCAGTAGATTGGAGTCGTGCTAATATTCACAAATGTTCAAACAAACTGATGTTTTGTACTTTTTGCTGATGACACTAACTTTCACTATGAAAAAAAAAAAAAAAAAAAAAAACCGCTCATTATCAAAGTACAAAAGCTCTATAATTGGTTAACATCCAAAACGCTATCATTCAATATCAAAAAATCAAACTTCGTAATTTTCCATCCTCAGTTAAAGCAACTTTCTTACCAAACAAAACGCTGCATATTTGATAATAAGTATTTCAATCTCCAGTCTAATGCTTATATAAAATACCCCGGTGTTCTCATAGCCTACAGAGCAGGCCTGGATTTTCTTTTACAAAAGCTTGTTTGAACTTTGATGGCGTTAGGCCGCCATTTGGGAGCAAGAAAAAATCGCAACAACCCTCTGTCAGTTTCATCATCCAAGACGACGACAGAGCAACTCTCTTATTTAAATACGCCTGCTTTTCAGACTAGTGTTTTTAACCGCCTAACCAAATTACCAGTTTGTTGATAAAGGATAGGAATTACGTTTTTTTTCTTCACTGACAGAATGTTAAGTAACACTACTTTCTTGGCTTCGACAAACCATAGTTAGTAGAGGATACTGGTTATGAAAGGCGGCAAACGTCACAGATAAAAAGAGTGCTGCGGTTTGTTAGGAGCTCCCGGACGCTACACAATCCTTTGCTTTTTGATCAATCAATGAATCAATAAACTTTATTTACCCTCGAATTTACAGTGTAGCACTCAAGTGCTAATATCTTCGAGCCAACTACATTAATAAATAATTATAATAAAAAGTTAATTCTATACAACAAATAAGATAACTACCTAAACAACTAACTTGCAAATTATCACGATTTAGAAAGGTTTGCAGTTCCTGCCCTTTTAAGTAAATTATTGTTCCCAGTAGATATCAGTCGTCGAAAAGAAGTAAAATCAGAAATAGTGCGGTAATGGTCAGGAAGAGAATTCCAAGATGTTACTGCCAAGTAACTAAAGGAATTGATACCATAAGAAGTGGTCAATAGTTTGGGCAAACAGAGCATATTATGTCCTCTTAAAAAATAGGTGCTAGAGCGTAAACGAAACATATCTTTTAAATATCTTAGATAATCAGAAAAATGAAGACATTTAAAAATAGTGAGAATCATGTTTTGTAAACGATTGTCCTTAAGGTTTGCAGTTCCTGCCTTTTTAAGTAAATTATTGTACTCAGAGTTAAAATCCTTGAAAATAAATCGAAGAATACGTTTGTTTAAAAGGTCCAGTTTATCAGAATCTTGTTTACTAGAGAAATGCCACACCATAGAACAATAATAAAAGTGAGGAAGTATAAATGCCTTATAAAGACGGAGCATGGTTTCAGTAGACATCAGTTTGCCAAACCTTG